CCCTTCCCCTAATCTACCCTCCCTTTTATCTTTCCCCGCTTCCACCTGCTCTTATTGCCTTCCCTTTCTATTTTCCTGTAGGGCAGGATAGATTTCTATACCCCATTGCCTGTATATCTTATTTCCCAGTTGCATGTGAAAACAATTTTTTAACATTTGTTTTTAAAACTTTGGGATCCAAATTTTCTCTCTTCCTCCCTCTCCACCCACCCTCACTGAGAAGGCAAGCAACTCGATATAGGTTATACATGTGTAGTCATGCAAAACACTTCCATAGTGGTCATGTTGGGAAAAACTAACTCTATTTCCCTTTATCCTATCCCACCCCATGCTTATTCTATTCTCTCTTTTGACCCTGTCCCTCCTCAGAAGTGTTTGCTTCTGATTACCCCTCCCCTAATCTGCCCTCCCTTCTATCATCTCCCCTACTGTTTTATCCCCCCCCCCCCCATATTCCTGTAGGGTAAGATAGATTTCCATGCCCAATTGAGTGTGTATGTTATTCCCTCCTTAAGCTAAATCCGACCATCATCATTTTTTTGAGGAAGCTACTGAGTTAAAGTCCAACATATATAGGGCAGTGGTAAACTAAGAAACAAGCTTCTATTTCCTTCCATTCTAATGAGCTTTAATGAGTCAGTAAACATTTATGAAGGAGCAGCTAGGTGGTGCAATGGCCCTGGCGTCAGGAGGACCTGAGTTCAAATCCAATCTCAGACACATAACACTCACTAGCTGTGTGACTCTGGGCAAGTCACTAAACCCCAATTGCCTCACCAAAAAATAACAACAAAAATAAACATTTATGAAGCACCTACTGTGTGCTAAGTACTAACCATACAAAAAGAGTCAAAAGACAATTTCTGCCCTCAAAGAGCTTACAGCCTAATAGCAGAGACAACATGCAAACAGATATATACAAGGCAAGCTATATACAGGATAAATAGGAAAATATTAACAGAGAAGGCATTGGAATTAATAGGGGTTAGAGAGGGTTTCCTGTTGAAGGAGGGATTTTAGTTGGGACTTGACTAAACGATAATGCAGTTATCACTTGTCATATAAAATATATATAACTAAACCATTTACATTATGTAGTTACAAATGGGTAATAAATAATAATAACAGTTTTATTATCATAAATACAGACCATCTGTTCAAACTGTAGTTGTTTGAATCCTGTTGCTATTGAGGGGTTTATCATCCACAGACAAATATAGTGAAGTAGATATGCCTATAGTTACCTAGATATAAGAAAAGTTACAAATCACTAGATTTTGATGAATTTTTCATAGACATCAGTTATCTAGAATGTCATTCCTTTGTAGTTTGGTTTGAAATGAAAACATGCTATGGTGGGTTCAAGTACAGAATTGTTTTTATTCTTGTGTCTATGATTAACTTTATTCATGTACAAAACTCTATACAATAATTATCCCTGGAACTGCCTTGCTGAGATTCATCAATTCTATCTGTGGTGAGAAGGCCAAGAAAAAACATATTTTTAGATTTTTTAAAATGATTTCAATGGTGATTTAGAGAAAAAAAGTCTTATTATCAGATGGTAGAGAAACAGTTCTTGACTCCATTGGAGAGCTAGCCTAAGACTGGTTATTTTTTCTGTATTAAACTTAGGATTTCATTGTAGTTGTTCCATACTGTGGATTTTAGATGAACAAGATTATTATTTCTATTAAGAATGTTATTACCTTTGTCTACAAAACACCTACCAAATCTCCTGTACTGGTGTATTAAGAGGAGGAAGAAAAAAATAGTTCATTTCATTTCATGTAGCCATCACTCTTAAAAGGATATGGTATACCTACACAGACAAAGCTTTCACCATAATATCTGACTATTGACCTCCCTGGCTTAAGTCCCAGCTAAAATCCTATCTTCTATAGGAAACCTTCCTCAACCCCTCTTCATTCCAGTGTTTTCTCTCTGTTAATTATTTCCTATTTATCTTGTATATTGCTTGCTTTGTATATATGTTTGCACGTTCTTTCCCATTAGACTGTAAGTTCCTGGAGGGCAGGAACTGTCTTTTACCTCTTTTTGTATCCCCACTGCTAAGGAAATGCTTATTGTTGACGACATCTGAAAAGGAAGGGGGTTATGGGGGTGGCAAAAATAGGCACCACAGAGATGCAGGCACCATTAGGATTTTTTGGAGGTAGGAAGAAATTGAAACAAAATAATAATAGTAGTAGCAGTGGTAATGGTTAACATTTATATAGCACTTACTATGTGCCTGGCACTCTCCTAAGTGCTTTACAATTATTATCTCATTTGATTTTAATAATCCTGCTATTATTAGTGCTATTATTATCCCCATTTTACAGATGTGGAAACTGGGCCTAAGAGGGCTTACATGACTTGCCCAGGGGCATACACCTAGTAAATGTCTGAAGCTGGAGTTGAACTCAGGTCTTCCTGACTCCAGGTCTAGTGTTCTATCCACTGGACCACCCAGCCAACCCCTCTCTGCCCTCAGCATTTAGAGCTGAATGCTGTACATACTATTTATCCTAAAACTTCCTTTCATAGGAAGTTCATGGATCCTTAAAAGCTGGAAAGCCTTTAGGTATAATCTAGCCTAAATTGTCCTATAGAGATAATTGAATGTTAGAGTTCGACCTTTGAAACCTTCTAGACTAACCTATACCAGATCAGAATCCCATCATTCAGCTTTTGCTTGAAGATTTTCAGAGGCGGGGACCAAAGACCTCCACAGTCGGCCCATTCCACCCTTGGGTCTCTCTAATTGTTAGGAAGTCTTTCCTATCATTTACAAGCATAAATTTGCTTCTTTGCAGCTTTGATGCCTTGCACCTGACTATGCCTTAGGGCTAAGCAGAACAAATCCAGTCTCTCTACTGCAGCTTTTCCAACACAGTCAAGACTGCATCTTTGTATCAAAAGCACCATTTTTTCCCTAAATCTTCTCTTATTCAGGCCAAACATCACATATTTCTTCAACCGGTTCTCATATGACATAAACTCAAGGCTCTTCAACCCTGGGGGTCAGGGAGTGGCCCACGCCCCTTTTCTTTGTGTTCCCAACACTTAGCACAGTGCCTGGTACGTAGTAGGTGCTTAATAAACATTTACTGATTGATTGCTATCCCAAGCACTTGGTACAGAGCCTGATTAGGCACTGAGGCAGCTGGATGGCATAGTCCTGCCTCAGATGTGTACTAGCTGTGTGACCTTGGGCAAGTCACTTTATGTCATGTCTCATTTTCCTGTATTGTAAATTGGGAATAACAGCGACTACCTCACAGAGTTGTTATGAGGATCAAATGACACAGTTCTAAAACACTTAGTACAGTGCCTGGTAAATAGTCAGTGCTCTATAAATGCTCATTCACTTCACCTTCCCTGGTCCATAAATGCTTATTGACTGACCATTCCAGTTTTTCTCTTTTGGATGTTTTTGAGTTTATTAATGGCCTTCCAAAAATCTGGTGCCTAGAACAACTCTTTTACTTCATGGGTCTCCTGACCAATAAGCTCTATGCATTCTACCATACTAATTTCACTAACTCTTTGTAGCTCTTCATGGAATTCAGGTGATCTTTTCAGGAAGGCACAAGGTACGCATAACTGTTAATTTGGTATTTTCTGCGGTGCACTCTCAATTATCCTTGTGTATATTATTAAGTTATTTTTAATATATGCTTTACACAGAGAGCTCCCTAGACCATTTCTAGGAAGCGCAACCTGAAAGCTATAGAGAATGTTTGGGAATTGTAGAAGAAAAGCAAATGCATTTAAAAAGTTGGTAAACAAGACCTCTGAGGAAAGAATCATCTCAGAGAAAAGAGAAGGCAGGTTAACAGTTTTTAAGATTATAGAGGCCCATTACAAAACAGACGGCAATGAATGGTCTACCAGCTACCTTGAGACTAGGACACAAATAGGGGATAAAATTACAACAATTTCCTGGTAACAAAGAGGGCACTGGTGGTAAGGGTATTGGATCTTGGACCAGAGAACATGGGTTCCAAAACCTGCTCTGCATCTTACTACCCATGGCAGCCTCAGACAAGTCATTTCTCTTTTCAAGGCTTTAATTTCCTCATCTATAAAATGAAAGGGTTGGTAGGAAAATAATACATATAGCAGCAACAAGGCAAATGGAAAGAATAAAAAAGATTTAACTGAATGCTGCATAATTATAATGAACCCATTTATCCCAAATAGATAAAAAACAACAACGTACCTTTCTCCATTCTTTCTGGCAGTGGGATACTATGAGAATGGAAAATGCTCATAATGTCAAACTTGACCCATGTGTTGGTTGGTTTTGCTAAGCTTTTTTTTTTTTTTGGCTTTTATCTCTCTCTCTCTCTCTTTTTGTTTGTCGTTGTTACAAGGGATGAGCCATTGGGTAGGGGAGGGAGAATATATTTAGAAATGAAGAGGATATAAAAACAAAAGTTACAAATAAAAATGTGTGTCTATACCCATATGTGCATTTGAATATATGTATGTATATACATTTATATATATGTATACATACACCAACACAAATGTCCATCTACACCTAATCTATTTATCTATCTATGAAGGAATTGGCCTAAATATCCACAAAGGTACCTTTGTAGCTCTAAATTATATAATCACAGCTTGATGAATGACCCTCACTAGAGATCTTTAGGAAAATAAGGGATGAGATATCTTAGCTGCCAATCTGGAGGTCTCTATAGAACTAACTTAAGTCTGTTCCCAAATGGGAATCTAATAACTCAGGCAGACAGGCAATTGCTAGAGATTGAATGGGAGCCAACCTAGGAAACAAAAAGGATTAAGGATTCCAGCTATACGAAGGGAATGGGTGATGACCAGCTACCGTAAGTGAGTTAAACAAGCAGACTGGTTTTGACAATAATAACAAAGGCATATTATGAGGCAGTGAATTCCACCTATTTGCAGCAACATTTGAGGTAATCCCTGGAGAATGTAAGATGATAAAACGTGTTTGACAGAAACAGTTTAACTAAATTATCATTTATTTACTCTTTAGGAGTTTCAGTTGTACAAACAGCATCTTTCACAGTGGACAGTGGGAACATAATAAAGAAACATGAACAACTTTGGATTAAAACTTACTGAGACAAGTTTGAATCTGGACAACATTGAGGCTCTTTTAAAATGTAATTTCTTTTAAGCATTTTTTAACTTTAATAGCCCCAATTCAAAATGTATGTATAACAAAGTGAGTTAAAATATAATATGTTGTTTTAGTAATAATACATCCAGGAAAGACCATCACCTTTAGTTCCTTGGACAGATTTTCTTAAAGTTGTCTTGTTCAATACTTTTTCCATATGGTTATTTATTTTTTTTAAATGGACATTCTCTGTGTAATTTTATACCCGAGAATGAGAAAGAATCCAGTGTCTGGGCTCTGTATCTGTCTGATTTTCCTACTTCAGGCTGCTTTAAGCTTTTCATGATGGAACCCACATATTTCCATGGGTGTCTGGTGCCTTAATATAGGGGATATTCCAAATCCATGGACGATCTGAAACGTAAAGATGAACAAAATTTCATAAAATTCAACAATTCAAGGGAAAGATCACTTCAGTGACACTGTTGTACAAGACATGATAAGCTTTGCCCCAAACAGCCCTAAACAACCCCAAACGTGAACCTGAGGAGAACTGTCATAATTACACACAGAACTTTGGGTGGAGATCTTGAGCAAGATTTATGGGAAGACATCATCAAAGGACTCACAGGAGAGGCACTGGTCTGCAACACTGGAGGGAGCTGGGGCATTCAATGATATTATAGAGCCACAGAATAATCACATACTTTCTCATATAAGACTCCTTTGGAATGTTTGTGCTGTAATTTAGAACCATCACTGACTTTTATCCTAGAACATTCTTTTTCTAAGCATAGAGTGATTTGGGCCATATGAAAAAAAGGATGATACATAGAATTGATTGTGTACAATTCAGTACCAGAGTAGTAAATGGTAAAAATAACAATTGCTCAGATTTCTATAAAACTTTACATTACTTTCCTGTATCCTTACAACAGTTCCATGACATAAGGTAGTCCAAGGATCACCTCATTCTACAGCTGAGGAAAGAGACTCAGAGATATGAAATAATTTGCTCAATGTCACAAAGTGAGCGAACAGCAGAGCCAGGACTAGACCTTAGGCCTTCCCTATCAAGATCATTTGCTATGGTAAAAATAACTAGATTAGGAGACAAGAAACCTTGGTCTTAGTCTCATATCAACCACTGACCCAACTGTGGCACCTGAGGCAAGTTAATTCACTTTTCCGGGTCTTGGTTTCTTCTTACGTGAAATAAAGGAGTTAAACTAGATAATATCTAACGTTCCTTCCAGGCAAGAATCCTATGATACCTCTCTTTTTTCAATTCAATTTATTATTATTTTTTAATTAACAAGTCTTTTTTTCTTCTCTCCCTCCCATCCTCCCCACATTGCAGGAGAGGGAGGGAAGGACAGGAGGGAGGGGAAGAAAAAAAAAGAAAAAGAAAACCTTTGTAACAAACATGCAGTCAAGTGAAACACATTCCCATACTGGCCATGTCAAAAATATATGCCTCTGAATTCTATGATTCTGATCATCAAAGCTGGCTCCTCTGAGTAGTTTCTGCTGTAAGTAAAATCCAGAGGAACAGAGGGAAGAGCCATGAGATGCAAATTTAAATAACTGGGAAGCCTGGGCTTGGACCATGCACCCTTCCACTAGTTAGTACTTTACATATGCATTTTCCATTTCCCACTCTTTCCATTTTATCCTCCCCTCCATTAATACTCTTATTATTTCTCCACCACTATGCATACTCGGATTTGCTTTCCAATAAATAATGGTCTGAAATGATCAAACTCAAAAAATATGTCACTTGACTAATGTTTCCATTAAATATAGCTGGACCAAAATATGATTTTCTTTTAATGAGGTCAATACAATTTTTCAATCACTGAAAAAATTGTGGCATTTAATAGTTTAAATAGGGAAAAAAAAACCCGAAGAAACTGTATCAATCTTTTTTATTAGAAACAGTCTCTGCCATTTCCCCCCAAGTTTTTTTCAGACTGTCTGTTTTTCGTTATGAATCCTCACAGTGAATATTTAAACACACACACATTTATATATTCTGATGGCCTCCCTTTTAAGAAACAGATGCTGATTTGTTTCTGCAAAGCCAACACTTCTGACTCTGGGTATTACTCTCTGGCGTTAAGATTTGCAAGGAATTTTTCTATCCTTATTAATGAGAATTTCTAACAAAGTCTTGCTCAGATGCCTCAGTGTGACACGAATGTGACTCTGGAATTTAGAACGCTACGCCAGTGGACCACAAACTCTGGCAGGTTGTGCGCTAAGCTGGAAAGGCCTTGAGAATGAGTCTGGCTGCAGAGTGTACAGTATGTCTGGCATCCGAAGACTCAGCTCGCTAAATTTGGAGAGGCTCGTCACCAGTGTCTCTGCAGGGTGATGAGATATTTTCCCCCATAGCAACTGATATTGACTGTTTACTAAGACATAGAGGAATTGTGACCTGAATCAGGGGAGAGACTATCCACACTAGTAAAATTATGGAACTTTAAATGTATTGGAGTTGTTGTTCGGTCATTTTCATTTGTGTCCAACTCTTTGTGACCCCATTTGGGGTTTTCCTGGCAAAGATACTAGAGCATTGCCATTTCCTTCTCCAGCCCATTTGCCAGATGAGGAAACTGAGGCAAACAGGGTGAAGTGACTTGCCCAAGGTCACACAGCTAGTAAGTATCTATGGCCACATTTGAACTCAGGAAGATGAGTCTTCCTGACTCAAGGTCTGGCATTCTATCCACTGAGTGCCGAAAAACTGAAGAGAAAAACAATCCAAAAAGCCCAAAGCCCGTCTAAGACCTGAATTGTGAATTATCTCTAAGCTACTCATCTGGTCACCTTGAGTAACTTCAATACAAGGTGGTAGGCTCCTGAATAAGTCCTTGCCAAGAAAATCCCAACTACGGTTACGAAGAGTTAGATATAACTTGAAAAATGACTGAAAAACTGTTAAGCTAACCCCTCCTTCCATCCTGAACTTATGTAATTGACTTTTCAATATAAGTACAGGATTTTATCATTATCTCGGTTAGACTGCGCCTTGTTAGTCTGGGTGTATCTTTCAGGCCTTACTTTTAAAAGTCCTGATTCTTTCATTCAACCAGCTATTCTTCCCAATTTTGTCACTCACAAAATCTGGTGAGTGTTTTCCATGTCTTCATTTTAAGTCAGTGATTTAAAAAAAAAAGGTAAACAGAATAAGTCTTGAGATAAAACTCTATGGAATCATCACTAGATTGACCCTGATCTATTATTAATTATCATTTTGCATCTGACTTAGGTATGCAAAAGCCAGATCTCTTAGGCCTGACCTATCAACACTGCCAAGAAGGTGACACTAAATATTTCTTTGAATACTTTTTGCTATTGTGAGAAGATGGCTTTTTTACTTTTTTTTTTTTTTTTGGTAGTTGCTGGGCAAGTGGAAAATATATAATTCACAAAGCTTTAAGCTAGAAGCCACTATTACTCTTTCATTACTAGCTAACTCTTTTCTTCCTCTCCAAATGGTGCTTGAATGAACATAATATGCCTTGAGAGGCACTGGAGTACGGTGGAAAGGACATTAGACCAGGCCTCAAAAGATCTGTATTCAGATTCCTTCTCAACTATTTATTATTCATGTGACCTTAGGCAAAGCACTTAATCTCTTGAACTTCAGCTACTTCTTACACAAATCTGACATCATGGGGTTGGTCTTGAGGAAAGCACTTGGCAAAGCGTAAAGGACACAGCATGATGGGATATTGACAAATAGCATAAAGTAACTATAACATAGTCTTTCACCAGATGGATTTTCAGAGACTTTTCAGTGCTAATGCCAACTTCGCATTACTGTTTTCGCGGGCTTTCAGACAGGTGATTTCTCATTCTGATGGCTCAGCAAAGCCTTCTTTCTCCACTTTTGGAGACTTTGCAAGACTGCGTGACTGATTTGAAGGCTAGGCTGTCAATAGAATCAGTAAGATGGGACCCATTTTCAATGATACACACGAGTCATTCATCACTTCCAGAAAGGTCTTCAATTCTTTTCTGGCACTGTATTTGTAGTGATTTTCTAAACTGAACAAATCTTTGGACTGCAGCTAGGCATCCCGTACGGTCCATTATCTGAGTGCCTTAGGTTTGTCTCTGATGTGTTAAGATGTTCCTGATTCATAGACTCTGACTTAACCAGCTATTTGAAGGAGACCACAGCGTGCTCAGGGAGTACACAGCAATCTTTCTAAGAACATTATTCCTTGGAGAGAAGCTCCCTATTGATTGGAATACTCAAAGAACTTCATTACAAGGTGGTTTCACCTTTAAGGCAGCCCTGATACTCAGACACTTTCCTATCCTCCAGTCCCCTGTCCAAACAACGTTATCTGGGATTCCTTCTGATGTGTGCCTCAGAATTCCTGGCTTCCTTCTAGGTTGAGTTCTTAGAAGAAGCCTCTCCTGATCCCCTTTCCCTACCAAGGAATCAAATGAGATAATATTTATAAAGCACTTAGCAGAATGCCTAGCAAACAGTAGGTGCTTAATAAATGTTTATTCTGTTTCATTTCGTTGGTAAATGTTCCTTCCTACCTGTAACTATTTTGTGTACTGCCCCATCCCCAAGAAAAATGTAAAGTCCTTGAGGTATGGAGATGGTTTTGTTTTTGTCTTTGGTAGAGTAACTTGCACAAAGTAGGAACTTAGTGTTTGCTGAATTGAACTGTATCTATTTTTTTCTTATTGTAAAAAGTGGGAGTGAAGTGGGAGTCAGGAAGCCTGAGTTCTAATTCCAGATCAAACACTACTGACCATATAACCATGGGAAAGTAACTTCCCCTCCATGCCTCAGTTTGTTCAACTATAATATAGCTAATATTTAATAATATCTATGTAGTGCTTTAAAGTTCAAAATGTGCCTTGAATACATACTATCTTATTATTCCCCGCAACAACCCCTTTCTTTTTTGAAGACAGAAAGCAACTGAGGCCAGGAGAAAGGGAAATGATTTGCCCAGGGTCACAGATCCAGAAATAACATTTGAACTCAGGTCTTCCTGAATCTAAGTCCAATGCTTTAGCCAATACACCATTTGATGGGACTAGATCAGGGGTTCTTAACTTAAAAAAAAATTAGTAATTATATTTCAATATAATTATCTTTGTAATACTATGTGTTTGATTTTATACATTTAAAAATATTCTTCATATATGCTTTACCAGACTCCCAAAGGGATCCATGAGACAAAAAAAATTAAGACCCCCTGGGCTACATGTTCTCTGAGGGTCCTTCCAGAACTACAACTATATGACTCACATTCAACTAAAGCTTTTACCAAGTCTTCAGAAAATGGTAGAGAAAGTCCTATGTTTCCTTTTCAGGGCAGAATCTGTCACTATTAAATTTGAAATGTCCAGGATGAAAAAAAATCCTTATGTGT